ATCTTGCCCGAAGTATTTATGGATATTACAGGAGTTGGAATGAGCGTATTATTTGGGAATGAAGTTTCAAATGAATTTGTAACGACATTCCCTTCATCATCCTCGGGGAGTGTTTCTGCTAATGTCATGTCTGGTACTGAGTCACTGCTTGGCGTGGGACGTTAAGAGTGAAATACGTTTGATGGCTAAAATATTTTGGATCGGTTGATGGATTGTATTTTGATAAATAATTCTATATATTTCGGTATCAAATCCTGATATTTTGTGATTGTTTTTGTTGATTTGGAATTGTTAACAAAATTTGACATAATTTGTTGTTCTAATTCATTCTAGATAGTTTAAAATTATGTTAATTTGGAATTATTTTCATATTAATGTTCAAAGAATAATGCTATTTAGACTTAACAATTTGATATAATTTGTTGATATAATAATGTGATTTCATTGAAACTATTAGATTAACACCAATTTCAATGTTTGATATGATCTACAGTCAATTCAAATGTTATAATGAATTAGATCCGTAAATTAAGTCTCAATAATAATACTCGATATTTATGGCTTTTTAATCAACTAAACAAAACAAATGGACATTAGATCGAGATGCTCATTCACTCTTCACTCCAGAACTCGAGGAAGACAGACAGTGCGGTCTTGGAAAGTTATGTCTTTAACACCAATAAACCCTCCTCCAGTGCAAAGTATAATCTTTCCTCCAACTAATATTGAGTTGGTCAATGCTTCATTTAGATTATGTTCAGGTTCAAGCCCAGGGTTTCTTTGAGCCATAGATTCTTGAATCTAGCAACTCTATATCCCAGAACACACCACATGAAAAAACCCCAAATTTCATAACCTAGCTTCAGCACAACTTTCAAATTTCAAAACTCATAGTTCTGATAATGATCTCACCAAACACGAAGAATAACAAATTGCAGTGAAAAATATAACAACAGAACGGATGAAAAACTGGGTTAAAAAGTCACAAATGAGTTCTTAGACTCGTCAAAGTTCAGTACAACACAAAACAAAACACACTGTTTCGGCTACCGGTACTGCACCGGGTCCACCTCTATTTTCTTCCCAACAATTGCAGTTAGGGGCTGTTTGGTTTGACGGAAAATTAGGAGGATGGAATTGTTTGGTGAAGAAGAAAAATTAAAATGAAAAGAAGGGAAAAAGGGGTGGAAAATGCATCCCTTGTACCCATCATTTTTAATCACTCCGAAAATCGGTGGAACTGGAAGGAGAATGGAAGGATGGTGCAAAAGTTGCCTAAAATTACCATTTTAGCCTCAAGGTTCAGATATATATATATATATATATTTTGAGTAAATAAAGGTTCAGATTTTAGAATCACCAATTGTGAAAAAAAAATAGGGTTAATCTCATTTTGCACTTCGAAAGATTGTTCGAATCTCAATTTGCACCCTCAAAGATCAAATATTTTAATTTATACCCTCAAAGATAGAAATTTGTATCAATGTGCATCCCAAAGATCAAAAATCTCAATTTACACCCTCAAAGATAGAAATTTGTATCAATGTGCATCCCCAAAGATAAAAAATCTCAATTTGCACCTTCAAAGATAGAAATTTGTATTAATGTGCACCTAAAATTAAATTAATAAATTATACCTTGATCCCCCATGTTTGTCACTTAATCATTTGAACTCCTTCACATTTAGAATATTCTCCTTACATCTCATGACGTTTATGCATGTGTAACACATAATCACTTTTCGTTGATATATATTAATATAATCGTTAAAAAATATGATTTTATCCTAATATAAAATTATAATTTTATATTACCTTTTATTTTGTGGATTCGATATACTCTAAAGTTAAAAATCAAGCTTACCATTTGAATGTCTAATAAAATGTAGATATTTATATAAAAGGTAATATGAAAAATATTATATAAATATTTATATTTTATTAGACATTCAAATGGTAAACTAGATTTTGAACTTTATAGTATATTGAACCTATAAAATAAATGGTAATATGAAATTATAATTTTTTATTAGGGTAAAATTATATTTTTTAACGTTATATTAATAGATATCAATGAAAATGAGTTACGTGTTATACGTGCACAAATGTCATAAGATGTAGGAATAATATTCTAAATGTGAAGAGGTCTAAATGATTAACTGACAAATATGAGGGGATTTAGGTATAATTTATAAATTTAATTTTAGGTGCACATTGATACAAATTTCTATCTTTGAGGGTGTAAATTGAGATTTTTTATCTTTGGGGGTGCACATTGATACAAATTTCTATCTTTAAAGGTGTAAATTGAGATTTTTGATCTTTGAGAGTATAAATTAAGATTCGAACAATCTTTTGAAATACAAAATAAGGTTAACCCAAAAAAATAATTATGGGGTCCACTTTACTACGTACAAGTGGACCAAATTAGCGCAGTCCAAATCAACGTGATTGGAATCGATAGTACTGCTTGGATCTGAAATGTATATATTTATTTTCACAACTTTGATAACCGTACCGGTGATTTGGAGATATTTAGAAAAGTATTTAATGCTCATTACAATAAACTCTCTATTATTTTTTTTTTAATGAGTGGCATGCATTTCTAAGATTTTTATGAAGTATGACTAAGTGATTGGACTCAAATTGAACCTAGTGCACAAGTGCTTTGGCCAATAGTGAGCCAAGAATGGTGATATGGGAGAGGGTTTGTGAATAATACAAATAACCTCTAATTTGTTTTTTAAATTATCGTAAATATGTTAAGGTAATTATTTGAAATTATTTTTTTATCCTTTTTCCTTCTTATGTCAAATAAAATAATAAAAAATTATTAATTTTATTTTTCATCTTTTGTACCAAACAAAAAAAAAAATCAAAAATATTTTCTTTTCTTGAACGATGAAAAGTCAAATTTCATCTTTTTTTTTCTATCATTACTACCAAATAGATCAATAAGGATAAAATTTAATAAGAAGTGTAAATTTAACCAAATTTGAGACATAAATTTGGATTTAATAAGTTCGACAATTTCTTAGCCCAAACAAATAAGGGATTCAATTATATCTCGTTAGTTGTGTGAATTTGTCACATTATTTGGATAAGATATTTTATTTTTCAAAATTTGATCACTTTAGTATTTTGTAAAATCTATTTATTACCTGAGAAAAACAAATGTTAAACAGCAAAATTATCCAAATAAATTGAAATTACAAACTAAGTAACAAATTTGGGGAAGAAATTTTTTTTTTTTAGTTCAAAAGTAGGGATGGAAGAATCTCTTTGACAATTCTTTTGTATACTCTGGCGGACGTGTTTTGAACTTTCTTCTATATTCCTTTTCTTCTAGGAGTTGGCTTCAACACCGAAAAGGTGAAAATCGGTACGATACCGAAAAGTTAAAATGAGTGTAGGGTTGACACATGTACACTCTTAAATTTATCAAAACCTATAACCGGTATATATTTTAAAAATAAATAAAACCGCTGCACACTTAAAAAAAAGTGATAACAGAAATTAAAATTAGTTTAAAAAATGATAATTATTTATCTTATATAAACCGAAATAAAAATATATAAAAACTTATAACCTGTTTAACCGGTATATATTTTAAAAATAAATAAAATCGCTACACACTTAAAAAAAAGTGATAAAAAAAAGAAATTAAAATTAGTTTAAAAAAATGATAATTATTTATTTTATTTAAACCTAAATAAAAATATAATAAAAATTTTACAATATCTAAGTTCACCACAATTTTAAGTGATAATAGAAATTAAAAATAGTTTTAAAAATTTATAATTATTTATCATATTTAAACCTGAAATAAAAATATAAGAAAAATTTTACAATAGGTGATTGAGTGACATTAAATTTTAAAAATATTAGAGGTTAGGATTAGGTTATTAAGTTCACGGAGGCTAAATTACAATTAAAGTTTAGCACATTTTTTTTTGGCTATTACTAAAATGTTACGGTAAGTTATATTGTCACAATTGTTTTGGGCAAAATTGCCATTTTTTGGGGTTATATTTTGGGTTAAGTTAAAATTATTACAACATTTGTTTTTCACGCTAAATAAATTATGTTAAATTAAAATAGGTAAAATAATTTGGGGGAATATCAAACTAATTAATAGTTGAGGGTGTAATATGAAAAATATGAGGAAAAAATTGAAAAAAGTGATAATTTTGAGGTATAAGTGAAATTTATTAAAGCTAAAATTTTGATCAATGGTTTGAGCGATCAAGATTAGTCAGAGGTCGAGATTGGTTTGCAAACTTGATCGCTAGGTAATGCCCGATCGCTAAATAGTGATCCAAGTTAGATCGCTCGATATAGCAATCAAACTTTTTCTTCTATTCCCTCAATCAAACAAAAGGAAATCGAAAACCCAACTCCTCAAACCCTAAATCAGCGATCTAACCCCAAATCTAAGCCCAAATTGGTGAAAACCCATCCTGATTTCATACCCAAAACCCTAAATCATGTGAGGGCTTCAAAGTTTGGTGTCCTACGAAACAGCCTGCATCATGCTTCTCCGTCAGAAAAGAGAGAGAAAGGTTCTTGCGACTTGGGGTCTCGTGGTTGTCTAAACTTGCGTGTGGGGTGTATACTGTATAGTGATTGTTACGAGAATTGGCTCCTCTATGGTAGTTTTCTTTTCTTTACATTTTTTTGGGTTTAATTATTGAAAAAACAAGTTTCTTTCGACATATTTTTGTGTACATAGTTGTCTCTGTCTCTCAATTTCATAAATTTTTGTACAAATAGTTGCATAAGGGATGTGTTTTGGGGTTGAAGGAATTTTGGTTTTTGTGAGTGATGGTTCAAAAGTAATGCAATCCTATCTTCCTAACATCTCCATCAATTGTTATTGCTATAAATAATAGATAATTTTTCATGTTATTGCTCATTTTTTTGACTAGATTTTTTTCTTGTTACAATAGAATGACCGATAGAAAGAAATATATGCCAAAAGTTATGGATACCAGTGAAAAAATGAAGAGGAAGAAAAGCTGTAATGATCCTCCCTCCTCCTCCTCCTCGAAGAAGAAATGTAATCATACTTCCTCCATTGATCCCACCTCCACCAATCCCACCTCCTTCAGTCCAGTTGATCCCACTGTTAATCATCCACCAAGTTCATCCAACCCCAATCCAAGTTCATCCAACCCCATATGCAATGAAGACATATCTTTCTTCAACAAAAATTGCAAACAATGGTATGAGAACTTCTTTAATTATAGGCCTTTGTTATTGGAGAGGTTTGTTTTAATAGATCAATTAAAAGAGGAAGGATGTAATGTTATTTTTTCTCTTCATCAATGGAATTCTGCAATAGATATCAAGAAGACAGATAAAGCATATAATACATTGGTGAAGATATTTTATTCTAATATGCATGATATTGATAGAGATGATCACAAGTTTAAGTCCCTTGTGAGGAACACAAGTTTTGAAATAACTCCAGAGTTAGTTTCAAAAATATTGGGAGTTCGCCGACCCTTCATTCCTAACAATACCCTTACCTATCCATTCAAGAATTTTAAGGACATATCTAAGCTGAAAGATGTTCATGCAAAAATTAAGGGTATACCTAATAAATTTAGTGAAAGTGTTGACAATCCAGAATTTTTTTAGCAAGACTTTACTCCCAAATATAGGATGTTAAATCTTATAGTGGGGTACAATATTATACCAAGAGGACATACTGCTAATTTTGGACTCGATTGAGCTCATCTCTTGTATGTCATTGGAAAAGTTATATGTATAGATTTACCTTGTTTAATAGTTGATGAAATTATTTCGGTACAAGGTATGAAGGATAGGTGACGATGTCTTCCATTCCTAATTTTGAATTCAAAGATTATGGAAGATTGTGGAGTTGTGATTCACTCAACCGACACTTATTCCACTCCCATGAATCCAATTTATGGTGAGACAATAAAGAAGAGTTTGGGGCAAGGGAAGAAGAACAAAACTCAGCAACCACAGTCACAAGTCGAGAATGAAGTTGAAGCCGAGGATGATGAAGCCCAAGTCTAGGATGTCCCAAATTCTTCCACAGCTGGTGTCCCAAATTCTTTCACAATTGGTGTCCCAAATTCTTCCACAGCTGGTGTCCCAAATTCTTTCACAATTGGTGTCCCAAATTCTTCCAAAGCTGGTCTTCCTCCTGATCCATTGCAGATATATGGAATGTTGCTGGTACGATTGGGCAGAAAGATGGAAGAATTTGAAAATACTCAAAATGAAATAAAGGAGTCTCTGAAGGGGATCGATAGTAGGTTGGATAGAATTGAGTCTTTTTTTATGAAAAACAAAGAAATAGCTAGGAAGTGATAATTGTAAGTAATTGTAGTTGTTGGTTTTTGATATAATAGTTGAACTAGCAGTAGTGACAATTGTATGTAATTGTAGTTGAACTAGCAATAGTGTTTTTGTCAAAAATCTAAAATATTTTTGTTCTTTATACATAAAATAAGCATGGTAATGGTTGTGATAAGCATGGTTGTGGTAATTTAGTAGTAAGATTATAAATTCTTACCGTAATTTTACCTCTAAAAATACACTAAAAAAGTTGTATTCTTACACCGTATACACTAAAAATTTGATTAATTGGACGAATTTGATTAATTGACAATTATTTTAGATGTTAATTTATTGAATTAAATGTTAATTGAATGGATATGAATGTTAATCTAATTTGATGAGTTGAATGGTAGATGGAAGTTAATTTGATAAATTAAATATAAATCGATGAAATTGAACGTTAGTTTAACAAAGTGAATTTTTATTGGATGTTAATTGAATGAATTAAATGTTAATTGAATGATTATGGATATATATTGGATGAATTTAATATTAATTAAGTTGAATTTTTATGTTAATTTGATGAATTGAATGTTTTAATGTAATATTAATTTGTTATGTTAATTAAGTATTTAGTCTCTTGCTGGTAGATGCAGTTTGTGTGAGGTGGAGGAGGAGAGTTCTAGTCATTTATTTGTTAATTGCAAGTTATTCTCTTGCTGTATGGAGAAGAGTGTCTGCTGTTATGAGATTTGAGATTTTGATGGGTGAATCTCCAATCTGCAGAATGTTGAGATTGATTAAAAAATGTAGAGCTCAATCCCTGAGTCATACTTTGATCAGGGGAGTTTCTATGCTAATCTTTTGGGCCTTATGGAAAGAGAGATGCAGGAGAAGATTTGAGGGGTTGAAGCTGAATACTTTTGGTATTTTCATGCAGGTGGTTAGTGCTTTGAGATGGCAGGTTTTTATGATTAGACCTAAGAGGGAGGATGGGATATTGGTTAAGGTGATGCTGCAAGATCTTAAAATTGTGTGTCCTTTGTCTGTGGTCACCTCAGTTAAATGGATCAAATGGGAATCCCTTCCTTTGAACATGGTGAAAATGAATATGGATGGTGCCTCCAAGGGGAGTAGTGGTTTGTCTGGTGGTGGGTGGTTAGTGCTTTGTTTAGCTTTGCTAGATGGTTTAAAGTTGACTATGCAATATGGTTATGAGGACTGCCAATTTTTGATAGACTCTAATTCCCAAGTGTTGGTTCAGATGGTGTTGGGATAAGTAGATGCTCGGAGGTTAAAGCGAGTTCTGGATGAGATCTGGAAGCTTCTTGGGACTTTGCAGTTTCAGTTTAAACATGTGTATAGGGAGGCAAATGATATTGCTGATTTCTTAGCTTCATATGCTGTTTAGACTGAGATGTCTACTGATTTTTCTGTCAATAAAGTAATGCCAGCAGCTGGAAGAATGCTATTACTCCAGGATCAGGCAGAATGAGGTGTGCCATCATAAGGAATGGGGATGAGTTTTGCAGAATGCTCAACAGGTATTATCAGCAGTAGTGGAGTGCAGTACTATCAGCAGCTGGATGGTAGTGTACAGATAATCTGAACATTTCTGTGACAAGAGTTCTGAGAGGGGGTGCAGTTATGCAATTAAAACTGGTTTTGGTCCTCTTGAAGGATTAAAGCCAGTTTATGTAATATACAGTTTCAGACTGGGAATAAGTGCTCATTTTGAACTGTTGAAAGGATGAAAGTGCAGATTTTTTAGTAGCTAAAAAGTGGTCCTCTGTGTTGTCGTAAATTGTTGAGCAGTTGAAAATTGGAATAGATTGGTATGCTGGGATGAAGATGGCAGAATGGAACTGGTGCTTTGCTGCAGTCTGTTCTGTGTACTGGTGCAGTTTACTGAGCAGCGAAACTGGACTGGGCTGGTTTGCTGGGATTGAGTTGGTAGGTTGTTACCCAGCAGTTTCAGGAATGTTGCATTTGTACAGAAAACTTGTTTTGCTTTGTTGTTCTGTTTTATGTTATATAACAAAAAATCTGTTTGTAACAGTTTTCTATTTTTTTTTTGGTTTTCTGTTAAAATAGATTATGTTTTTTCAGTTAAACAGTTTTTGTTTTTTGATTCTTGTAATTTTGAGATTTATACAATAAAATTTGAGATTTAAAAAAAAAAGGAAAAAATAAAAAGATCCCTAGATCCCACTCTTGATCGCTATTGCACCGATCGGTCTCAAGCTCTTGGTTGCTACTCTTGCAAACCTGATCCCACTCTTGATCGCTACTCTTGATTGAAAACCTCACTTGATCCCACTCTTGATCGATCAAGGATCGCTACAAACCTCACTTGATCCCACTCTTGATCGCTATGTTGATCGGATCCCACTTGATCGCTAATTGATCCCAATCTTGATCGCTACTATTGATCACTACCTAGATCTTGGTTGCGATTGGATCACTATTCTTGATTGCTAAATGCTCTTGATCGGTCCAAAAAAGTGGTAATATTAACCGAGGTAATATTAACCCAAAAAAGTGGTACTTACCTCAAAAGTGTAATGTTAACCAAAAAATTGGTAATGTTAATCAAAAGTTTGATAATGTTAACAAAAAAAAAATAGTACTCTTAACCCAAAAAGGGTAATCTTAACTAAAAAAGTGGTTTTAACCAAAAGAGTGGTAATGTTAAACTAATAAATAGTAATGTTAACTAAAAAACTGGTTAGATTATTGAAAAAATTGTACTCTTAACCAACAAAATGGTACTCTTACCTCAACAGTGGTAATCTTAACCAAAAAAATTGTAATCTTAATCAAAAGAATTGTAATGTTAACCAAAAAAGTGGTACTCTTAACCAAAAAAGTGTAATCTTAACCAAAAAAGTGTAATCTTAACCAAAAGTAATGTTAACTTAATCAATGATAATGTTAACCAAAAAAGTTGTACTCTTAACCAATAAAATAGTGCTCTTACCTAAACATGTAATGTAATCTTAACCAAAAGAGTGGTACTCTTAACCAATGAGAGATAATCTTAACCAAAAAAATGGTAATATTATCCAAAACAATAGTACTCTTAACCAAAACAATGATACTCTTAACCAAAATAGTGGTAATCTTAACCAAAAAAATGGTAATATTATCCAAAACAATAGTACTCTTAACTAAAACAATGGTAATCTTGTCTCAAATAATGGGTAATTTTACCAAAAATGTGGTATTGTTACAAAATAAAAGTGATAATATTATAGGAAAAAAGTTGTATTGTTACACCCAAAAAATTTGTATTCTAAGCCCAAAAAATTTGTATTCTAACCCAAAAATGGTAGTTAACCAAAAAAGTCTTAATATTTCTCTCAAAAGAGGTAATCTAACCTAAAAAAAAGCAATCTTACCCAAAAAAGTTATAATCTTGCCTCAAATAAATGGTAACCTTATTAGAAAAAAGTGGTATTTTTAAAAAATAAAGGTGATAATGCTATACCCAAAAAGTTGTACTCTTACACCCAAAAAAGTCGTATTCTAAGCCAAAACAAGTTGTATTCTAACCCAAAAAATTGTAATGTTAACAAAAAAAGTGGTAATCTTGCCTCAAATAATGGGTAATCTTACCAAAAAAGTGGTATTGTTACAAAATAAAAGTGATATGTTACACTCAAAAAGTTGAATGTTTACACCCAAAAAAGTTGTATTCTAAGTCCAAGAAAGTTGTATTCTAACGCAAAAAATGGTAATGTTAACAAAAAAATGTGGTAATCTTTCCCTCAAAAGTGGTAATCTAACCTAAAAAATAGAAATCGTACCCTAAAAAGTAATAATATTGCCTCAAATAAATGGTAACCTTATTAAAAAAGTGGTATTTTAACAAAATAAATGTGATAATGTTATACCCAAAAAGTTGTTGTTTTACACCAAAAAAAGTTGTATTCTAAGCCAGAGCAAGTTGTATTCTAACCCAAAAACAAAATGGTAATGTTAACCAAAAAAAGTGGTAATCTTGCCTCAAATAATGGGTAATCTAACCTCAAATAATTGGTAATCTTACCAAAAAAAAGTGGAATTATTACCAAATAAAAGTGATAATATTACACCCAAAAAAGTTGTATTCTAACCGAAAAAGTTGTAATGTTAACCAAAAAAAAATGATACGTTTACCTTAACACGGTCATCTTTCCCTCAAAAAGTGGTAATCTTCTCAAAAAAATCGTAATCTAACCCAAAAAACGTGATAATATTGCCTCAAAAGATTGTTAATCTTACCAAAAATAGTGGTATTCCGACCAAATAAAATTGATAATGTTACACCCAAAAAGTAGTATTCTTTATATATAAAATGCGCTTGGCTCTTGTGGAAATGCATCATTCCTATAGGGAAAGAAATGTAGACTCTTTAGCCAACCAAGGAGTTTGTGACAATGCTTCTCATACTCATACTTCCCCTTCACTCTCAATCTACATACGCGACAACTGTTACTACAAGATCAACAACAAATTAAATCTAATAACGCCAAAAAATTACTAAAGCAATAAATGTTGGACAGTAAAATATTTTTTACAACAAAGGCCTTTCGCTTTCAATAATCCGAAAATGTCTTTGTTGCATAGATTATCATGAATAAAACTTTTTATTGTATGGAAAACATATCATGGAACACCAAATTGTTACCGGCACATTAACTTAACCCTCACAGACATATTGATTGGTTGTATTAATGAGGAAGATACTACTATCACAACGACAATGAAAAAGAATGTCAGCATGCATAATGTATAAGTTTCATTTAATACATAAGTTGAATGGTCAGAAGGAATGAGAATGTTATTGGTGTGTCAACACAATTCAACATGATCTGACAAAATATCATCCAGTAATAAAAGACCAAATAGAAATTTTGTAATTAAAGTTAATCCAATGTCAGGGGAGGCAAAAGTACAAAGCTTAGAACAATCAAAGCAAGGAAGTGTCCCTTCTCCAGTAGGTAGCACCTCCTCTACTCCCATCCTTGCTGCCCCAAACTCAAACAACTTGATAGGGAAGATGGAGAAGACATGCTAGAATTCAAGCTGCAATTACAAGGAGCAGACTTTGCACAGAAAAATCAATCTTAGGCATATGTAATTACCAACAAATATCACAAAAGGCTAAAAATGAATCTTTTGGAAGGTTGGCAAAATCGAGTTACAGAACATACTCATAAAGCTAAAGACACACACATATGTTATCAACAAAGTACACATCCTGTAACAAAATTGAGAATTTTACATGTTGCAAGTGATTGAATTGAAGGCACGTGGAAGTCATGGAAAAAGAGTACCAAGTTGTAGGTAATGGATCAAGAAATAAAGCTTACATGAACTTGGTTCTCATTGTAGCATGGAGCTTCTCTAAAGTATCCATGAAGAGTCTTGGACAGGCTACACCATCCTCATATCTAGCCAGAGAAGGTGGATATGGATGATAGTTTAAGGGTGTTTCTTTCATAGGCAATGGACTCTGTTTAAGAGTGGAACATGATGCCATTTCCAACTTGGGGTAAGTGTACCATTTTTTTTGGTAAGAATACCACTTTTTTTTTTTTGGGTAAGGATTCCTTTTTTTAGCTGCAGTTGCCTACCCTTCTTCGTCAACACTTTCTGAAGGGTTGTGTAATAATTCTTGCATCGTGCTTTATTGAAATAGCACTGGTACACCATATGGCTATGAAATCCGACAACCTGTTCTTACCATGTGAACATATTAATGTGAATGAAGTCATATTATGGAAAAAAATAAAAGAACAATCTATCATAAAACATAGCACATACCTGCAACAATTATATCTCATTCAACAAGTATATCTCACCAACAACAAACTTTCACCTATTTAGCATTGATACTATTGTGAATAAAACTATTTATATGTAAACTACATTTGAAAATGGCGTGCACACTGCTATTTGTATATGTGTGCATGCCAATTCAGGTGTAGGTTATATATAAGTAACTCTGACATACAGTAGCCTGGAGGCACCTGAATGATGAAAACGAAGAAGATGAAAAGAATTTATCTCAAAAGCAATATACGTTATGTTATATATAATAGTCCCTACTAAACAAAAAAAAAATGCAAATAAAAAAATACCGCTTGTATGACTACTTGTCAAAGTCTTTGGATTCCATTAGAGCAGGAATGGATGGTAAGAATGATGGATAAGAATGGTTAGTGAGAATGGTTTGTTATATAAGGAATGACTCCAGATTGTTCATATTTCTGTTCATCTTCCTCATCAACGTACTCCTATGTTCTAACCTTCGTCCTTTCTCCATTTGCTTTGATTTTTTCCAAGAAATGATAAGGCAAAGGATGACAAAAGGCAAAGGGATCCATTAAAAAAAATGGTCTGCACAAAAAAATAAACGGTATCTACATATTTTTGCACATCAAACATCCCAAATCACCAAAATCACCCAAACAAAACTTCATGGTCAGCAAAACACAGACAAAAAAAATTTTAATTCAGCAAAATACAACCACCAACCCATGGCCAGCAAAACATAGGCAAAAAAATTGATTAACCAAAACAAGGCAATTGATTCAGCAAAACATTGGCAAAAAAGAATTGATTCCAATTTAGCTATATCTGTTTATACAAAAAAATCAGTATTTGCACTAAATCAAGGCCATAAACAATATACATTACTTCAACTTTTGTATACAAAAAAAAAAAAAAGAATATACCACACTTATCATCTCCGATTTTTACCACA